CCTGTCTACATTGGACCAAATTTCAGAAAAAAAACCCTCTTTCACAGGTGCCCTTCAGAAGACAGGGCTTCTGAAAGAGCACGCCTGCTCTTTTTTTTTGGCAGAAGAGTAGATGCGTTCCCTGGACACGACGGAGTTTTTCCAGGATCCCTCTGGGATCCCAGAATAACCCCATAGTCTAGACATAGCCTCAGACTCGGTCATCGTTGTTGACCTTAGTGGCTGATTGTCTTCACAAAATATCCGTTTGTTAACACTGACTGGCCATACTACACACCTGACCTGCACTTCTACCGTGTAAAACAGCTGTCTTCGTATTTACAGGAGGGTGTCTTCATGCTCTTCAATCAGTTATAATTATGTGCACAATAACTAGAAGAAAGAGCTACACCTAAATCAATCAACTGTTAGCACAAAGCTTAGCAGAACTCCATGGGAGATGTTGCCAGTCTGAAGACCAGCTTGTACAGTTTTCAAATGATTCAAATTGCCAGGAGTCAACATTTCATACCATAGGTATGACAGAATTAAAAATCTCCCTTCTCCAGGCTATTTATTCTTCCCTGCTTCAGGAGAAGGTCCCATTGACTTCAGCAAGAATTAAGCCTTGATAGAGATGTTACTCCTTACTTCAGTCATACATATGATTCCATGTGAGTACCCATACAAGACCTGCTTCCTAAACAGAATGCCTTTTACATTTTAGGTATCAATACCATTTAGTGTCCAAAACTAGACTGAGAAGATCCACACAGTCTCAGAACATACAACTTCATTGTAGTTGCTAAACCAACTTCAGAGCTGGGCAACCGGAGACCTGCAGCTGGTGGCCAAGCACCCAGCTCTGAAAGCAGCTGTGCTGCTGCTGGCAGGAAAAAGAAAGGGTGGCAATACCATGCCACATCATCCTTATTTCTTGGCTGTTGTTGGTGGCAGCCTTCAGAACTGGGCTCCTGGCCAACAGCTGCTACCAGTCACTGCCCCACTCTGAAGGCAGCAAGGATGCCAGCAGCAGTGCCAAAGGGTAGCAGTTCTACAATTCCCCCTACAATAAGTATGCAGTCTCCCCTGCCCCCCAACACACACATACCCCTCCCTTTTCAGTCAGGACAGATATACTTACACCACTGTGAAATTTCAAATTTAAAGTAGCTGAAGTCATTACCCTTATGATTTTTAAAATTCTAGAACTGTGAAATTGACCAAAATGGACTATGAATACTGAGGCCCGGACAGACTAAAAATAAAAGTTTTTTCCTATGCTAGGCTTAATCAAAGCACACCAAAGTCACCATTTCAGGTGCATCTACAGCTACCATCCCTGCCAGTACTGCAGTAATTTCATGTGAAAGACCAAGGTTCTGCAGTGTGAATTTACCAGTCCTGTCACAGCCATGAGTAGTTTGACTAATCTATGGCAGTGGATCCTCTTTTTAAGTCTCAAGCTATTTTGTAAGAAAGATCCTGCTGTGGACCCATTTTTTGCCCAAACTCCACTGGGAGAATTTCCATTCTCTGAACCAAGTGGAAGGATTGTGTGAATCACTGACACTCCAGAGACCATAACTTGAGAGGCATTGGGCCACTGAGGCTACATCTACACTATGAGTTTTCTTGGCAAAAAATATGCTAATAAGGGACTCATTTGCATGAGTCAATCTCATTTGCATATCTTCTGGCGATCCGTTTTTGTACTGTGGTTTTTGTGCAAATCCCCCTTTTTCTGCCCCAAAAAAGGAGGTATAACCTCTTTTTCTGCAAGATGGGTATACCTCCTTTTTGGGGGCAGAAAAAGGGGTTTTTGCACAAAAATGCCCACATAGCTTGTTTTTGTGCAAAAACCCCAGTGCGAGAATGGATCGGCAGAACATATGCAAATGAGATTGTGACTCATGCAAATGAGTCTCATTAGCATATTTGTTGCTAAGAAAAGTAGCGTGGCCTGAGAGGGGAAGAAAAGCTGAGAAGATTTTTGCTGAACACTAAAGTAACATTTTAATTCAGGTGGCCCATCATAAATTTGCATCATGAGTACATTAGCAACATACCAGATCTGTAGGGCCACGCCCTGTTTACACATACAAATATACTTAAAAGAAAAAAAATAGTACACACAATATTTGCTCATACTTGCAATTGTTGACAGTCTATTAGAAACTGAGTTCATCAACATAAGCTACCCAGTCAATGACCGAACTGGAAGAATAGGAAGGAGAACCCTTTTAACTCTTTGTATATATCCAAAGAACACCACAAAGATAAGAAATTGTTTTAGGTGGTCCAACTTCAATTATGTTTGTAGCTTCCTTTATAAAGTTCACTAACAAATACTTAGGGTTTTTTACCCATACACAGAAGATATTGTTGCACTGAGGTAGTTTGAATTGGTGTTGCTTTGTTTTTAGAGCAGTCCCTGGTACACTGCATCCTCATTTATGAGAAGGCTACTGTGCAGGATTTGTTTGCCATCTTTGAATACCACCTCTTCTCCATCTCATCTCAGCAGGATTTTTTTTTCCAAAGAAATAACTGTGTCCACGACTTGCAAGTATCATGGTACATGGATTCTAACAAGTTCACTTTTCACTATTCTAAGTAATTTCAGCTTTAAAGCACTCTTCTGTTTCTCAAACCTGCTTTACAACTCAAATGAGGAATGCTGCTGTACAGTCATCATATTTTCTAATAAAAGTTGAGCAAATCGACTAGAATAAACTTGAAAAAAGAATGCTATTGGATTCATATATTCACATATTTTAAGACCCAAAATAAATAAATAAATCCAAGAACATTAGGAGCATCAAGTCTGACTTTCTTGCATGATGCGGGCCATAGAATTTCACCTAATGGTGGAGGCATTTAACCCAGTGACTTGTGCTTAAGCCAAGGCAGAGCATTTGAAAGGTGAGTGTGGATCTTTAGCCCTTTCCCTAAGCTACCCTTTTGTGATTCAAGCACACAGCGTTGAAGTAATACCCACACCTTTCCAGGACTTCCTGTGTGATTGACCTTGTCCAAATCCATTAGCTTCTATGCCTCACTTCTGCATAAGCTGTAGAAAATCCTTTTGGAGAGCTGCAAGTAAAGTTCGTAAGACACTTGAGAATTCTCAAATGCAACTGTCCTAGAAACGTAAGCCGTTATTACATAGCAGGACACATGGATCAGCTCATAGGGATGTACATGGTTCATGGGCTATAAAAGCAACTCAGAAGGTGTGGTAAAAGTCAGGGTAGGGTAATAGCCACCCTTAAAATGATCCCATCTTTTACTTTAGGTTTTAATTATGGCTGGTCACAAATCCAACAGCAATCACCCATCAGCAAATTGTGTCTGTTTGATGTGAGAATGATGGTACTTAAGATTATCTGAGTCCTGAATAGCCCTACATAGAGATCTGTTGTGAACAAATACTTGTCTAGTTAGTGGGATAATTTTCACCTCATGGAAAGGGACAAAGTGGAAAGAATTTTAGGGGATTTAGTGGTTCACCTTGTTTGGGGCAAAGTCTGATCAGCAGATGCTGTCACCACCATCCAGAGATAATATGTATCTGGATGCTAGGGGATGTACAAGGAACTGACACTTGAGGCAGTAAAGCCACTAACAAAACTGCTTTCTTTGTAATTCATATCTTCAGGACTGCCCTAGCTCTTGGATCTCCCTCAGGTCTCCTCCCTCTCCTCTCTTGCCTCCCCCCCCCCCCCCCCCCCCCCACCCAAAAAAAAAAAAACCCAAACACAAGCAATCAGGCATCATAGGCAAGATAAGGTAGGCAATAGGCAGGGAATAAAATATAGTAGTTGGGGAGAAGATTACAAGTTATGTTAGCTCTTCCATGAAGATTTTGTAATAGAACAATACACTTATCCCACTCGAGGCAAAATAAATAAGAACAAATCCGTGGCTCTGAAGTTTTACCCAGGAGAGTTTGCACAGGGAGAAAGCTTGGTGCTGCTGAAAAGCGTGGACCAGCTGGCTCCCACCAGAAAGCAAATGTTGGTTGCAAAGTGGCTAGGCTCTGGGAAGCTGCAGCTACAACGCTTCACTAACAAAGGGTGCAAGATCAGTTAATGGGACTTCTGGTGGGTTCCTATCACAGCAGCTTCCCCGAGTCTAGTATTTGAAAATGAGGAGGCACTGTCGAAGATAGCATCTCTGATCCGCAGGGTATTATCGAGGAGGTAAAGTGAAGGCAGTGATCACAATATTACACATTTGGGGAAAGGAGTGTTTCAAAAGCCCATAAGCAATAAACCGAAGAACTTTCCATAAGCCACAACAGTCTCAAGCATCAGAGAGGAGGTTCTCCCCACTTTCTGGGCGAGACGAAGGGAATGGGTGAGGGAAAACCATTAAAAACACAAAGCCAGGAGCAGAATTATTCATGCCCACCCAAAAGTCTCGTTCCAGCTCTCATTCCAACTCCCCTATTATGTTAGGAACGCCTCCCTCCAAACTCTTCCCCCCGCCTCCCCGGTCTGAAATACAGCCTAAAAGAAGAGATCGCTGAAGAATAAAGTAGACATTGATCCAAATACAAAACACCGCAAATCAGAGACAATAAAAACGTTCCTTTCCTCTGCTGGAGCAGCTCCCATTGATTTTTTTTTTATTGGAGGAGATTAGATTTCCTCCTGCAGTCGATTCACAGAGAGAAATGGGCAGAAGGTAAAGGGGGGAGGAGGACAAAACAAAACTTTGTAACCCAACACTTCCATGCACGATCAGTCGCCATGCTTAAGATTTTCTCCCCCTTCCTCGTTCTTTAAGCAGACACTGAAAGTAGGCCAAAAAAAAAAAAAAAAAAAAACTTTTCTCTGCCCCTTCTTTTCTTGTAGCCACTAGAGTGAAATGTGCACAAAGAGACCCGTGGAGCTGTGTTTTCTTAACTACAATAGCAGGACTAATTAGATCATAGAAGCAAGTCAGTGATACAGTAACAAGTAGCTAAACAAGACGACAAAGCGAAGGAGAAAGTTTGCACCTTTAACACTTACCAATCAGACCTCCCACTAGAAAGGCGATGACTTGGAAAATCAGCAAGATCCCTCCTACAATGCACAGCTTTTTGGTGCTCATGTTTTCTATAATTGCCCCAGCCATTTTTGCAGATTTCCGTCCCCCTTCTCTCTCTCTGCAAAACTTAAAGCTCTGAAAGTGCTGCAAGGATGGGAAGGAGGCAGACTCGACTCAGCACTGATTGTCCAGGCAAGCCCGGATCTGGCTCCCCCTCTGCTCAGAGCTGTGATTGTGGCCGGTGCTCGGCTGCATGTGGCTGCTTTAAAGAAGCAGGAAAGCGAATCACATGATACCTACCTCCTCCTCTTCCCCCTTCCCTCCCTGCCTGATCCATTCGGCAGCAGCAGATATTGGTGTCAGTCTCATACAGCAGCGGCTTGCCGCTTCAGCTGTGCGAAGAGCCAGAGCTGCCCGTTCAGGGGTTGCTGGTTGTATTTGTTTTCAGTAACACACACATCGGAGTTGGAGATGGAAGGGTTAGTCCACACAAGGATTGTCCTTTGGAGCGTGTTCTCCAGGTCCTTGCCCAGCGCAGATTTAAGGGTGAGGTGTGTACTAGCCTCGCAGGCTTTTTTCATCTTGCATTACAAACACAAAAGTGCTTTCAGTGCTAAGCATTATTCATTATTTTAATAATGTTATGTTCTCTCTTGGGACCTTTCAAAGCGGGTTTCAAAACACAATGTAGTGTAAATAAAGGATGCCCCAGTGGATCAGGGCTTTTAACACATCACTGAAATGCAAGTAAAGGACTTAATATATATGGCTGAAACAGTCACCTGGGGCGAAATGCAGACTTCCTTTAAGAGCAAACGTTGACACCACAAATGACTTTTAGATCCATCTGATACAGCAGGAAGACTTTAGATGAGTCATAATGTGAATTAAGCTGAAATTTAGCCAGGGCACCAAAGATCATACACGTACACAAAACAAGTTCTTTAATGTCCAAAAGTAGTCAAAACAGTTGCTGGGCAAGATGAAGATAGCAGGACGTTTTGCATGATACTCAGTTTCTTCCCAATAATACCCCCGTTCAATAAAGGCTCTCCCTCTTTGGTGTTGAGATACTCCACATGCTACAAGTCTATGCATGTCTCTTACTCCAATTAGTGCTACTTCAACCAAAGTACTTTCCCTTGGCTTAGTTCAATTCCTCCAGCCACTTAATTATTTTTGTTGCTGTCCTTTGAATTGCCTCCAAATTACAAAGTTTGGAGGTGCCCAGAACTGAATGAAGCAGTCTAGCTGCAGTCTCACCAGTGCCACAGAAAGGGCTTATTACTAGCTTGGTCTGTGACAGTTTGTTTGCTCACATGTTGCCACATCACAATCTAGAATTAATTCACTCTCTTCACCCCTGCCCTCATCAGTAGTTTTCAGCATTTCTGCTTTACAGTTATTTATGGAGTACTACTGGGACCACTGCTTAACGCTGATTTTTTAACATCTTGATATTTCTGAGATTAATAAACAGAACATTACCATTCACATATTAAACTAGTTTGGGAGGTGTTGAAAACATCTATAACAACATAAACAATACAAAAGGAACAGAAAAGCTAGGAATACGGGCAAGACATATCACAATGGGAGCCAGCTGAGCAAACATGCAAACAACCCATAAGAATAATATCCTGAAAATACATGAAATGGAGATAGCTGGGAAGCAGCAATAGCACAAGAGAACAATAGAGATGATAGGAAAATTAGGTAAGTGTTTGCACCGCAATATGGCAGGAAAAAACCCAAACACCTGTATTCACTTTTCTTTGGAACAAGGATCATATCTATGTGAGGGCACATCCACACTGCACAGAAGATTGACGCTGCTACGGTCGATCTTCCTGGGTTTGAATTAATGTGTATAGTGTAGTCCTGCTAGCTCAAACTCAAAAGGCACCCCCATCCGTGTCAGTACTACCACTCCTCATGAGGAGTAAGGGAAGCTGAAAAGAGCACTTCGTCCACCATTCCCTCTAAGCTCAGTGCTTGGGTGGCCACCCAGGAGAAATTCCTATGCCTCCTGGCTGATTAGCAGAGCACCCACAGGGGCAGCAGCTGGTAGCATGAGTTTCTACTGGTGGTGCACATCTGCACATGCCTCAGTGAATGTAACAATAGTTATTCTACACATGGACAGAAAAAAACAAAAGGAACACTGGTTTGCTCCTGTTGACCTGCCATCATGTGGATGACATGAAAACACAATGTAAGATATGTCGACTATAGCTATGTAATTTACGTAGCTAGAGTTGTGTATCTTACTTCGACCTTCCCATGTAGCGTAGACCAGGCCTGAGTGTGAACAGTGAGACCTTTGGTCATTCAATGATACACATAATAAACACCTCAAAACCAGAAACACAAGAAGTCAGAAAGAATTCTGAGAAAGACAATGAAACAGACTAAAAAAGGGTCCAGAAGGACTGACTTGTGGGGAATGATTGCAGTAAACTACATAGAGCGTGGCCAGTTTAGGTTAATTAATTCTTGACCCAAAGTTTCAGAGGTGTAGCCATGTTAGTCTATAACTGAAAAATCTTTAAAAACAATATTCCTGCAGCACCTTAGAATCTAACAAAAATGTAGATAGTATCATGAGCTTTCATGGGCACAACCCCCTTTACTCCATTCATCTGAAAAAGTGAGCTGTGCCCACGAATGTTCACAAATAGGTGTAAAAATCAAGGTAGGAGGAACTATTGTTTTGGCTGGTCTAACCAGAGGTATTTTTTCATATACTTTTATTTTCCTTAACAGAAATATTCCATCCTCATGTAAGAATGTGTCCTCCCATTCAGATGTAGTTGCAGGATCATGGCTAAATCTCATCTTTGTACTGTTTTCTTTAATAAAGTAATCTGTTTTCTAACCAACATATTCACTCATTAAGGACGCAGCACTGGCAAATTGCTCATAATTAACTTGGAACTAGGCAAGATGGTATTGATGCAGATTATTCAGACAGCATTATGGTAGCAAGGGTACGTGGAAAAAAATAGAAGGGTGATTCTGGAAATCAGCCAATAATTTAGTAAGGAACTTCAGATTCACTTAGCATTGGATTGCCTTCTGTAGTGTCTTGGTGAGTGCCAGGTTAACAACCTGTCCTTGCAAAAAATGCTTTGTGTTATGGAAACAAGCCATGTCTGTCACAGATTTGCAAATACAGTCATCAACTATGGAGAACCATGATCTGCTGGACGTAGTACTGGTGTAACAGCAATTCCAGCTGATGCTATGATGATGGAGAATCAAAGCCACAAAGAAGTTCTTCATCTGAAACAAAACAGTTTCACAGCTAAGATTAAGACAAGAATTGGTTGTTGGAATGTTAGATCGCTTTGAAGCACAGCTAGAATGACACAAGATATATGAGAAATGAAAATCTTTGGCCTAAGTATACTTGGGTTGATTGAAATGAGGTAGAATGGATAAGGCAAGTTATTGTCAAAGGGTGTGAAGGTTTTATATTCTGGAAGATAGGATAATAAATTCTGGGAAGTCCGAGCTTTGTTATTTTGCAAGGAATCTGCTAAAGCTCTGAAGGAATGAGAACCTATAGTCAAGAATATTGACTGCTTGCTTTGTGATGAACACCACAGCTCACAGTTGTTCAGTCTTGTATCCACCAACAGACAATAGCAATGAACAGACTATTTCTATGAAAGATGGAATCCTTGGAAGATCAATAAATGTGACATTGTTTCCTTGTGGGAGATGTAAGTGCTCAGGTTGGTGAGGATAATACTGGTTATGAAAGCATTATGAGCAGACATGGCATCTCAGGACAGGCTGACAACGGAGAGCATTGTGTTGAACTCTAGGACCTGTGCAGTCTTTGTACTGGGGGGCACATTATTTTCACACAAACACATGGAGATCAAATGAAGACATCACCCAGAAACAGCTTAGCAATAGATAGATCTGAAGAGTTAAAAAACTGATGGCAGACACAAAAAACAATGGCAGTTTTTTGGTTAGGGTGACCATACGTGCCATTTTGGTTGGGGCAGTCTCTTTTTAAACCCTGTTCTGGCTATCCCAACTCTTGGCAAGAGCAAAGGGGTAAATGCCCACTTTTGTCAACAAAGAGTAGTGCAGTGCAGAGGAACATGTGGGGTGGGGAAGTGGAGTTTCCAGCCTCCCCCCAGCAGTCCTTCAGTGCCTCCTACAGCACCGGGTCCCAGGGCAGTTGCCCCCTTTTCCCCATTCCCAATGGCAGGCTTGGTCTTGAGTATAAATAATATAAAATCTGAGCATACAAAAGGTTGACCAAACAAAGCTCTAACTATAACCAAATGTTTACTTCTAAACACTTATCTGAGACTGTCACTGTGTCTGGAATTAGTCTTGAACTGGGGGAGGGAGTGGTTCAAAGAAAACTATGAGAGTTATGTATCCATTTCCAGAAATTCTATACAAATTAGCCACCTGACTGCTGTAAGCTCTTTTGAATGTTCCAGCCATATAGTGTATCCACTATTTTTTTAGCGCTTTCATGTGAGTTCTTTTATATTTGGAATACTCCTCACACATGGTGGATACTAAGAAAAACACAGTTACTCTCTCCAGTCAATAAGTTATGTTTCCATACTGCAGCATTAAATATGTGCTAAGGGTGAAAAGTGATATACAGGTTCAGGTGTTTAAATCTATTGTTAGGGATGGTACCAAATACTGTTGTAATTAGCTTCAGCATACTTTTGTTGCTGATACTTGAATACTGATATCATGGGAAGTTATCTCATAGTACAGGAAATGGGTGGTTCTTGCTATCCCTAGTGCACAGAAGTTGGGAAAATTCTTGCTTTATAAACAAATCCTTTTATATTTGTTTGTGTGGATTCCCAACTGTAAAACTTCTTGCTGTTCCCAGAAGAATGACATTCTGCATGATAGTCCTTCAAAGAAGTGTCAAACACCTTTCCCAGGTAGGACAGTCCTCTGGAATGCATTACAATAGGCTGCCCTCAGGCAAATTTAGATACTTGTACAACAAAATGGAGGTCATAATCTGATGAAAACATGCTGTTCTTTCACAGTGAGAATATAGGTTCCTGTGATTCCCTGCAAGAAATGACCTTGTACTTTATTTAATATTATTTTCTTTATCTTTCTGCCTTCTCTCTCACCACAAGATCCAGGGCCCCAAGCCCTTAGAAACCCTGCTGTCTGGATACTCCATATCCCCAGCATGTTTCAGCGTTGTTTAACTTTCTTTGACACTATAAAATGGTCATCAAGGGCCAGGGTTGCTGCAGCAGGG